ATAGAGTAAGCATTCCATTTATATTGAATGGCTGGATTGGATGTCTTTACATTTATTTTGGTTTTATATCCCTCAGAAGTTCTTTTTCTTACTATAGATCTTGCACAATAATTTGGGGGAGGGTGCTGGTAGTAGAGCTTGAACTCAGGCCTAGCATTCTCACTTGGCTTTTTTGCTGAAAAGAAAACTGCCTGCATTTTAAACCACACAGCTCCACGTCTGATCTTCCAATTGAAGAGGTATCCTTGCTTTCTATGATGACTTTTAACTGACTGTTGTTTGGCTATCAGGAATACATACAGATAGATAGATAGATAGATAGATAGATAGATAGATAGATAGATATAAATATAGATATATAATTTTATTTTTATGTTATATAGAATTTGTATTTTATATATACAAGTAGATAAATATACATTTTATAAAAATCTATACAACCAAATTTTATTATTGTTTGTAAGAATTTCATATAATTCTTTTGCCTTCAACAAGCTTCAATTTTACTTTTCTTAACACCTTCAGGAGTTGAATAACTTAAAAGATTGAATTTCATGCCCCAAGAAAAAACTGCAAACAATGAAATCCCAGTGAGATCCATGATGGTTAGTGGTACAGATGTAAACCTGCAATTTATTTCCTAAGATAATTAACTATCATGATGAAGGAATACGTCAAACCTAGAACCATCTCATTCTTTGCTAGTTGGGTATCATCTGCTGTTTGCTAAGTGGGACAGCATGTCATGTTTGCCAGGAGTCCTTTTTGTTTAGGGAGAGATATTTGCAATTTAAATCACAAAAGAGAGAAGCTGTCAGTACAGACGGACTTGCCCAAGTTTCCCGTATTACTGCAGAGTTTGTTTTGTCAGTCTTGATATATAAGTGAACTCATGCAAATGAATGCATCTGTCTTCATTTCTCTTTGCCATGAGATCGTTATGCAAACATTAAACACCAAAAAAAGACATAAAGTGATGGATGACTTGTACAGCCTGTAGGTTTGCAGAAAGCAAATACTCAAAGCAGGTTCCTCCCTCTCCCAGACCTCCTCTTCTCTCCTGCATCCTTTGGAAACACCCCCAACAGATTTAGTCATTCCTTGGGGAGTGAAGTTACTTTATTAGCAGCTAACATTCCTGTGATTCAGCACATTTTCTTGCAACAATATTCTATCTTTACTCCTGAGCTTTGCCTAATTTATATTCCTTCTTTGGTCCGCACTGCTCGGCTAGTCCTAATCAATAAGTATACAAGATTGGTTGGAAGGCAACGTTGTGAAATAGATGTTGCAAATGGAAGCTCAGGCCTTTGATTTACCTGTTTCCCAAATGGTCTCCTCTGTCTGCTTTCCTCACGAGTCACACTGTGCAGTGTCTGTGACTTTGCCTTTGTTATTGGGCTGTGGGCATCCTGTAGATAATGGCCTTAACATGTTCTATCTCTGTGCTTCATTGATGGGCTTGAAGTAGGTATTCAATAACTCACTGAATCAATGAAGACACAAATTACCTAATTAATAGAAGCATAAATATTTTCTTTCATCCTCACGATTAAAACTAGCACTTAGGAAAAGATTTCAAATATTTTAAATCAGGGGGTAATTGACTATTCCTAGTTTTAAAAGTAGCCAAATACACACAACAGATGAGTGGATCCAAAAAATATGCAATGAAAATTTGCACAACCATTAGAAAGAATAAAATAATGTCATTTGCAGGGAAATGGATGGAACTAGAACGAATCATGTTAAGTGAGGTAAGCCAAAATCAGAGAGACAAACCGTGCATGTTCTCTCTGATACGGGGAAGTTAGATCTAAAACAACTGGGATATGACAATTTACACAGGATTCTAGATACATACAGTGAGGCCAAAAGAGGATAACCTTCGGAGACAATCGCAAAGGTGCAGTGCCTAAGCACTTCTTTGTATTTATATAAAATTATGTATATACAGAAACAAACTCCTAAGACATTGAAACAAAAGGCTTCCATTTTTTCTTTTTCTGATGATTCTGTATTCTTTACCTTATACACAATGTATTCACATGTACATCTCCAAGAGGGTGGGGGAAGGAGGGGAGGGCACAGAACAGGAGGAATAAGGGTGAAAAAGTACAGCAGTGGACCACACTGGATATAGATGAACGTGAACTATACAACCTGTGGGTGGAGCTGGGAAGGAGGGACTGGGAGAGAATGAGGGAAGAGATGCCACTGTGCAAAAGGAAATAGACTTATTACATGACTCCTGTAAATGTAATCCTTTTGTATTACACTTCTATTATAACAATGAAGTAATTTTTTTAATGTAGCCAAACCAATGGATGTACAGTTAAGAGACACCTTAGAGCTTTTTGGGAAAATAGTTGCAATCTACTATTTCATCTTCATTATTTTTTTCATCTTGGTTATTTTAACTACTAATTTCAATTTTATAATAAATTTATACTTTGCATTCAACCACAAGATAATGCCTTAGCAAAGGTTAAGTCCTTAACAAAGGACCAGGCATCTGTTATTCCCATGTACATCATTTCTAGTTTCTATAATATATGTGACAAGTTATTTTGTTTGCTTTTTAAGGGGCATGGGTGAAATACATATCATGGTAGCTAGATTACAAATGCTTCTTGCAACTGATTTAAAAGAACTGGTACTTTATGCCTTCAATAAGAAGTCTGATTCTTGGGCTGGGAAGGTCACTCAGTGGTAGAGCGCTTGCCTTGCATGCATGAGGCCCTGGGTTCGATTCCTCAGTACCACATAAGCCGGAAGTGGCGCTGTGGCTCAAGTGGTAGAGCGCTAGCCTTGAGCTGAAGAGCTGAGGGACAGCACCCAGGCCCAGAGTTCAGGCCCCATGACCGGAACCCCCCCCCCCCAAAAAAAGAATTCTGATTCTTAAGCTGGGCACCTATAGTCATGCCCTATACCCATAGCTACTCAAGAGTCTGAGTTCTAAGGATTATGGGTCAAAGCCAGCCCAGGCAGCAAAGTCCTTGGGGTTCTGATCTCCAATTAACCACCAAAACTCTAGAAGTGGGGATGTGGCTTACATGGTAGAGCACCCACCTGGAATGAAAAACTAAAGGACAGGGCCCAGGCCCAGAGTTCAAGCTACAGGATCAGCACACACACAAAAAAAGAATTTGGTTTTTGAATTTCAATCTTTAATAGGACTCTAATAGATGAAGCAATGGATGTAGCCAACGTCATACATAGCCTCTCCTTTGACTTCTATCAAAGAACAGGAAGAGCTCTTCTGTGCAGAGTCCTTGGTAAGAATGAACGAAACACATCCTCCCAGCTCTGCCTGGAATGACTTTCCCTCTGTCACTGAGGAAGTTAGTGACCTGATGCTCCTTGCTTCCTCTGTGTGTGTGTGTGTGTGTGTGCATGTGCACACGTGTGTGCAAGAACATGTGTGCTCCAGTCCTGGGCCTTGAATTTAGGTCTTCAGGCTCTAGCTTGGCTTCTTTTCTCAAGACTGACACTCTCTCCACTTGAGCTATACTCCACTCCTTGTTTCCTTTTCCCAAGTAGTCTGTTCCTCTCACTACATCAGATGAGAGATTATTTCTATCCTTTACATGATTTAATTTTCCCATTGCCTGGTGGGATAACATACCAGCAACAACAATTTAGAAATCTTTATGATAAACATTGAGTGTTTCAAAAATATAATTAACTGTTAGTGTAAGGAAAGGGCAAAGGTGTGCAAATTACTTTTTTTTTTTACATTTGGGTTTGAAAATATGTCTGTTCATGCATTTCAATATAAGTGTTGTGGATGTTCCAAAAGCTTATAAACCCTGAAAATCAGAACTTGATTCAGGAGAAGTTGAAGAACTATTTTCCAATCCATACCCAGAAAGTGTATGGATAGAGGAAATGGGATAGCATCATGGAAAAGTCTAAAACAGTGTTTCTCATAATCTCTGAATAGGTACATTCTGGCTCTTCTCATTTTTGTTTCTGAAGGGAAGATTTTCCTTAAAGTTTTCTTAAGTCCAGCACAAGTTGCTCAGACCTGCACTCCTAGCTACTCAGCAGGCTTAGATCTGAGGATTGACCAGACCAGGAAGATAAATCTGAGAGACTATTAACTCCGATTAACTAGAAAAAAATGCCAGCAGTGGAGGTATGACTCAAGTGTTAGAGTGACAGGCTTCAGAGTAAAACTGAAGCAAGACCCAAGGTTCTGAATTCATGCCCCAGGACTGGCAATGTGTATGTAAATAAAACGAACAAATAAATCATTTTCTTGTCTTCTGTTTTAACTAAAATAAAAAGATTTGAGTTTCCACTTGATGCGTAATATTTTTCCTTTAAGATCTGTGAGACTTTAAGCTTTGGTAATATAAATAGACAATGAGAGATTTAGAGCAGTTACCCATAAATTCTGAGGACCAACCAGCTCTGCCTTGCCATATTTGAAATATTCAAAAAAGAACTAGTGAGATTGACACTGTGCCGTTGTATGTTGTTTCCGAAATACAAGTAAACATCAATAATACTTTTTCTTGCTCTAGTAAAGCTCACTGCTCTTGTCAGTAGGCTTTCTAAGGTGAAATGGACCATGAACGTGGAGTCTACTACTACACTGTATGCATTATGTAATATTATGTTCTTCATCACCTGACAACTTTCAGTTGCTCCATTCAGAACCAGAAAAAGAGATATACTAAAGCGAATTCCCAAGGAATGGCAGAAAACAAGAATGAATGTTGTCATTTGTGCCTAAGACAATTCAGACTATTTATTATGAACCTAGAGTGAACTCCCCAGTGCTGCCTTTTTAGTAACCATTTTAGGCAACGTCTGCATTATCTGCATGCATAGTCTTATGAGGAGACACTCTGTCATCTACAGTGTAAGGACCCACAGAGCTCTTTCCTCATAGAACAAAACATGGAGTTAATGGAAAGGAGGCTCCTCACTACATACAAAACCCCCATGGTTCCACTCTCTTTAATAAGGCAAATGCTTCTGTTTTACAGAGGAATTCAAAGGCTCCACCGTGGTAGAACTGATGAAGAAGGAAGGCACCACCCTGGGTCTGACCGTCTCAGGAGGAATTGATAAGGATGGAAAGCCAAGAGTGTCTAACCTGCGGCAAGGAGGAATTGCTGCCAGGTAACTAACTGCCTCATGGGGACATGCAGAAAAATGGAATCCAGGGTGTAATTAATTAAAAATGAAAGCTTTATCAGCAAAGGTCACGAATAAATAAATGACAGCTGCCATCTGCCCAGCAGAAGCTCAGCAGGTGTATTTCAGAAGCTGCCCCCTAGACCTGACCTGCCTGTGGCTATTCTGGCTTACGCCAGAGTCAGTAGAGAGAGGTTTGTGTCATCTCAGGCGCAACCAGGCACTCAGAAGATTTTCATTTTAACAAGCTTATATCGATCTAGATCTAATTGTTCCACTGAACACCAGATGGGTTGCAGTAGGAAGGAGACACTGGGATCATGTAAATGAGAAGCAGATGACCCATATGGCATGTCTGAGGAAACTGCGACAGATGAAAAATGGCAGCTCAGGCAGAGAGGGAGGCCCAACTCTTGTATTCCCAAGGCAAAAAAAAAAAAAAAAAAAATGTACCTTTCTACTTGGGACACTTACCTTTTCACCAAGAAAACAATGAACAAAGGACAAAGACTTAGAGAAGGAGCTGTTACTCTCTTCTCATGATTTGCAGATTTCTCTAGTTATGGTCAAAGGTGGAATGCCCTCCTTTCTGGAAAAGGATGAGCTTGCTTTATAGAATTATTCTAAATTTATCTCAGAAGGACTGGGGACAAAGGTGTCTCCCTTGTAAAGCACTTGATTAGCATGTGCGAGGCCTTGGGTTCCATCCCAGCACCACAAAAATAATGATAATTGGTTAACCTCAGAAAGATGAGATGGAATGATCCAGCGAGATTAACATTCCTTAAATCCTGGACATGAATGTTCTTGTCCACATAAGGCCAAGTTAAATTTTAGAGTTCTTACCCTATAAAGAATCATTTGAAATAGTAATTCCTTTGGATGATCAATTTGTTTGTATAAAGGATTAGCTTAAGCCAGATGATTGTTCTTTGATCCAAAGTGGGTAGGATTTGAAGAGAGAGGTGACATGAACTGTAGTACCTTAATCTGTCTCCTTTGGCCTTGAGGACACTTCTTTCCAAACCCAGAGTTTACGGTTTACCTGTATTTTCCAGTCATCATGCCAATCCATGATATTAGGGTTTCATATATCTCTGAGTTCCTTCATGTCTAGCCCAAACAAGGCAAAAAAAAATGCTATCTGTGATTGTTTTAGTGTCATCATTAAAAGTAAACAGAGGAGCTGTGGTGCAAGCTGTAGAGTACCAGTCATGAGCAAAAAAAACTAAGGGACATCACCTAAGCCCTCAGTTCAAGCCTCAGTACCAGAAGAAGGGAAAAAAGTATTACTGTGCCAGCTACATGGATACAAATATTAAATCAAGACAAAAATCCTTGCACTGAAGGGGCTTATAATCTATTAGAGAAGATAAGGTATAAAAAACATGAGAAAAGTAAAAACAAAATAGCAATACATAAAAAAAGCAGAACCCAGGAATACTGGCCAAGCTTTCAGGCAGGTAGGTGGTTTTGAGAGTCAGTCTGGTCAATTTGGAAATACTTTCATGAGGGGAAGGCTGGGCAGATGGGGGAGGCTCTTCTAGGAGGGTTAATTGCAGCTGGATTTATATAAAATGAATTAATTGGCTATTTCTAATTAGGGAGGCAATGTCATTGAAGGTCATTTGCAGCGACACAGTTTTGACTCCTGTCACTGCCCTCACTGCCAACTTTTTTTTTTTGGGAGGGGGGGAGGTCCAGTCATGGAGCCTAAACTCTGGGCCGGGGCGCTGTCCCTCAGCTCTTCAGGTCAAGGCTAGCATGCTACCACTTGAGCCATAGTGCCACTTCCAGCTTTTTTCTTTTTGCTTATGTGGTGCTGGGGAATCAAACCCAGGACCTCAGGCATGCAAGGCAAGTGCTCTACCGCTGAGCCACCTTCCCAGCCCTCACTCCCAGCTCTTAATGTAGAACTCAAGATTGACTACAAGTTCCAGGGCAGCCAGCACTGTGATGTGATGGTAAAGAGAGTGGGAATGTCCTGAAACCCAGTAATTCCATGCTATTTCTTCTTCCCAATATTCCTTTTTTTTTTAAATCAATCCTTCCAAATAATAGTCAACAAAGGAAGTAGTAAGGAATGATTAGCAAAATGGAATTGGATAGAACTAGAACAAATCATGTTGAGCAAGGTAAACCAAGATCAGAGAGACAAATGATGAGCATGTTCTCTCTGACATTTGGAAGTTAGATTAAAACGCAATGGGACATGACAAATTACACAGGATTGTAGATACTCACATACAGTGAGACCTAAGAGGATAGTTTTAGGAGAAAATCACAACACTGCAATACCCAAACACTTCTTCATAAATATAGAAAATAATATGCATACTAAAACAAACTCCAAAGATATGGAAACAAAGGACTTTTTATTTTTCCCTTTTTTTGATGATTCTGCATTCTTATATATGATATATTCACGTGCACATCTGTGGGCGGGTGAGGAAGGGCACAGAATCTGAGGAAAAAGGGTGAAAGAGTGCAGCAGTGGAATGCAGTGGACATTGATGAAAGTGAATTATGCACCTCATGGGTGGAGATGGGAATGGGAGAGAATGAGGGAACAGATCACACTGTAGGAAAAGAAACGTACTTATTACCTGATACATGTAAATGTAACCCCTCTGTGTATCACCTCTATAATAACAATAAATTTTAAATAAAAACAAGAATGGGGGCTGGGGAGGTGGCTCAGTGGTAGAGTGCTTGCTTTGCATGCCTGAGGCCCTGGATTCCATTCTTCAGCACCACAGGCAGAAGTGGTGCTGTGGCTCACATGTAGCGTGCTAGCCTTGAGCTGAATAGTTGAGGGACAGCACTTAGGCTCCATGACCAACAAAAACAAAACAAAAACAAGAACAACTAGCAAAGATTTTTGACCCTTCCCTTGGCTTCTGAAGATAATCTGAGTGAAAATAGTAAAAGCCAAAATGCCCAAATGGCAGGAAACATAAATGAGAGGGAATGAGAAAGATCTGGAGTATCTTAGAATATTTGGGGTCTGCGTCCGTTTCTAGAGAATCAGCAATCTACGCGTCTAGCAACAAAACATGCTTCTCTTTATTTTGTTTTATAGTGTTCTAAAAGAAAGAAGTACAGCAAGAGGAGGAGGGCTAAGTCAGGATGATCATGAGATCATGAATTTGAGGCCAACTTTAGCCAAGTACTAAGATCTTGTCTCAAAAGAAAAAAAAAGCCAAAAATAAATATATAAAGCAATTTTTAAAAGCCGGGCGCTGGTGGCTCACGCCTGTAATCCTAGCTACTCAGGAGGCTGAGATCTGAGGATTGCAGTTCAAAGCCAGCCCAGGCAGGAAAGACCGTGAGACTCCTATCTCCAATAAACCACCAGAAAACCAGAAGTGGCGCTGTAGCTCAAGTGGTAGAGCGCTCGCCTTGAGCTGAAGAGCTGAGGGACAGCGCCCAGGCCCAGAGTTCAAGCCCCACGACCGACCGAAAAAAAAAAAAAAACAATTTTTAAAAAAAGGTTAAAAGAAAATTCCCTAGGTCATCGTACATCCAGAGCAGGACTTGCAGAATGTACCAGGCAGGCAGCATGAGTAGACAGGACCTATAGAGTCTCATCCATGCTCTTAGTTTGATCATATCCTACGAGACAGGAGCTTTGCTATATGCACCTGTTAGGCTTCCTTATTATGTTGAGAAGAAAGTGGAAAACAGATCTGGACTATAGAAGATGAGTCCACTGAAGTAATGTTATCTGTTTTGTAGAAGTGACCAGCTGGATGTAGGCGATTACATCAAAGCAGTGAATGGGATCAACCTGGCCAAATTCCGCCATGATGAGATCATAAGCTTGCTGAAGAATGTTGGGGAACGAGTAGTTCTTGAAGTGGAGTATGAACTTCCACCAGTCTGTAAGTAATTACAACTCAGTGGCAGACTACACAATGCTTCTGCAAGCGATTGGATTTTTTTTTTTTCCATTTTGCCATCAGTGTCTTGTTACAGCAATGGAAGAGCAGCATTTTCCATACTAAAAAGCTATGTGAATTGAAAACTGTATAATCTCTTCAAGAAGAACATAAAAATCACAGGTAACAATGAAATCATCTGGCATACCCTGATCCAGTAAAGTGATCTGTGAGCATCATTTTGGTTACTTAAGCTATAATAAACTGTGATCATATTTAAAATTATTTTTTGAGCGTTAAGTTCTGTGAAAGCTTTGTGCTTGGGTTAAGGAAAAGCATGTTCCAGCAAGTTTTACATTAACTCTGTATAGATATTTATACCTAAAATGTAAAGGTAGCTTCAATCACATTATTCTCAAGTAATAATAATAGTAATAACTGGCCGTCAATGCATTTAGAATACTTACTAAATATGTTGCACTGGTTTATGTAATTCTCACCACATAGAAGGGTCAACGAAGACAAACTTTAGCATCAAATGTCCAGGACTAGTCCAGTGTGATGGCTCACGCCCAGCACTCAGAAGGATTGCGATTCAGGACCAACCTGAGCAAAAGCAAAAAGTTCTAGACCTGATCTCAAGTAATAAAAATATCATCATGGTGGTACATAACTGATATCCTGTGTGAAAAATGCAAATAGCAACATAGTGGTTCAGACCAACAACACCCTATTCAATAACTTTTTTAAAATAAAATAAAAAAGAGTTGAGGGATAAGGGCATTCGATTAAGAGGTAGATCATCTCTGTCTAGCAAGTTCAGGGCCGTGAATCTGAAGTCAAGTACCACAAAATATACCCAAGCTCCAAGCCCAGCTTCACCTTTTACCAGCTGTGTTCCTTTGAAGAAGTTGCTTAAACTTTCTGCTCGTTTCTCCATCTTTCAAATAGAAATAATATTAATTCTGACTCATATATTTGATAGGGAAATAAACTTAACAGTAGCTAGCCCAATAAAAAGGTTTTGATAAATAATTGACCAACCACTACTACAAGATATGCACATTACCATTCTTTTTGTCATTTTATAGAGACTTAAACATCTTTCCCAAATTGGTAGGGTGCAAAGTCCATATTTAAATGGGGAGTGCCTGACTCCAAAGTCCATGCATTTATTCTTGTGAAGTATGCCTTATGTTACATGCTACTGCTGCCCTGCCTTTAAACCATGCATTTCTAGCACCAGTTCTCTGCTTAAGCTATCCTAGAAGGCTCTACTAACGAACACTCAGACTGATTAGAAACAAGTGGTAATAATTCATTTGGCTAGTAATTAATTAGCATTTTCTATATTCCAGATACCACTACATTTTAGGAAACTGGGGTGCATTCTATGAGTTTGCATTCTAACAGGGGAAGACAGAAAAATAAAAACTATAATAAGTGAATTATGTAGTTTCCTATGGGAAAAAGAAATCAGAAAGAAGGAAGGTTCCAGGAAGAAGGAACCGCCAATGCTACATTCAAAAATGTAAGAATATACCTGAGATTGTTTGGAGCAAATCAGAAAGGCATATGGCTCAAGCGGAATGACCACAAAGAGAATTAGGAGATGAGGTCAGAGGTATCTTAAGGTATCACATATCCTGGTTGCTGGTTGGAAACACCTCAGGTTTCACTCTGAATGAAATAGAAAGCCACAGTATGCTTTGAAACTGAAGAAAAACATCATCTGGCTTGTGTTTCAAAGGCTCTCTCTAGCTGCTGTACTGGGAATAGACTACAGGGCAGGGAGTAAAGGCAAAGACTGGGAGACAAGTTAGCTGGTTACTGTAGCAGTGCAGCTGAGTGATAGTGGTGGAGATGGTGAAAAGCAATCAAGATTCTGGATCTATTTTGAAAGTAATATAACACCCCAGTGTTTTGATCCTGAGTAAGTGGAAGGATGGAGTACTCCACAGCTGAAACAAGAATGTGACAAGAGCTGACTTGTTACGGGGGGTCGGGGGGCAGGGATCAGAAAGGTATTGTTCAAATACTACCTTTGCTGGTTTTGTGGCCTCCAGTATGTTATTTAAGTTCTCTGAGCCTTAAGTTTCCCACCTGTAAAAATGGCTAGAGCCACTATTGGATGTTTCTGAGAATTTACTCACATAATCATTTACATATTCTTACATACCTGGGAAATAACTAAGACTATTCACCCTTAATATTATACAACAAAAACAACAACTACTACTACTATGACTACTATACTATACTACTGTTACTATGCTGAAATTACTGTGCTTTCTTGAACTTTAGAAAGGTCAGTTTGCTTCAAAATCACAATCTCCCTTGCTAAGGAGTTAACGGGATGTCTGAGCCAGTGTTCCCTAATTACCCATTTGCACTTTGCTGGATATGTAAATATCAGTAAAACACAGCTCCTTGCTAGTAGTTCTTAGTACCACTTTCAGCATGAAACCCTCCGTGGAGATTTGCCCAGTATCACCTGTGACTCCCAGATGACAGCTGAGGAAAGACTCAACGAGATCGTGACAATCCAGTAGGAAGGGATTATTCGACACACAGGTGCATTAGGAAGGCGAGATGATACAGTGTAATGCACACATTAAACCGCAGATTGGAGTTTCTGGCAAACAACGGGAAAAGCAGAGAGACCATAGATGGAGATGAGGCCAATGAAGAAAGCAAAAATCACTATGACAAAGATCAAGGATGGCATCAACTGTGCTATCAGGAGTCCTTAGAGACTCAAAACATGCTTTCTTTTTTCTTTTGTATTTTCCCCCTTTGGTTTATCCCTTGTCACTGTACCTGATTTTGGTACCTTGGGTATTTGCATATATGTTTATCTGAATTAGGGAAGGGAAGGGGAACAACAAAATGGTGAGACAAAGGACAAAGAGGTGACCAGTGCAACAGTGATACTCACAAGACAATATGTTGGAAATGATCCCTACAACTTTGGGGAGGGGGTTGTGGGGAAGGGAAAGATGAGAAAAAATGGTGGAGGGGGTAACAAGTTCAAAAAGAAATGTACTCACTGCCTTACTTATGTAACTGTAACCCCTCTGTACATTATCTTGACAATAAAATTAAAGAAATAAAAAAAGAATACAGATGTCAGCTAGAAGCTGGGGGGTGGGGGAAACTGCATTCAGTGGATAGACATTTCTAGAATAATCATTTGGGAAGCCAAATGTAATATAGATCAGAGGCTATTACCCTGAAGGGCATGTTAGCTTTCCAAAAGAAAACCATATCCTAAATCAACATAGTATTAGTAGAGTTAAAGCGGTCAGGTGGGTAAGAGAAATGTTTATGAGTAAAAGCCCATCATGACTTGGTGATTATATCAGCTTTATTCTCTTAGGCAATAAAGCTAGTAGAAAAAAGGGAAACATACATTTAAACACCCCCGTGTAGGTCTCCCTGGTAGAAATCAGACAGAAGAAATCCATTCTCCAATGATATTCCCTGTCTGTTTTTATTATGTTTGATGAAATTAATAGATACTTGAGTTCAGGGAAGTTGAAAAGATTCACGGGCCCTCACTTGGCTCCAACTGCTAGAACAAACAGCCCCCCACAACTGAGACCCTGAGACCAGAACTGCATGTTGAAAGATAAGCTGCCCAAGGTCAAAACTGTAACTCCTCTCTAGATCATAGCAATTTGAGGTCCAGCCATCCCTAGAGTTCAGAAAGAACTGAAATAAGGGTATGTGAATGTGAGATCTGATAGAGAAAAAAAAAAATTGAAGTTTGACCTTGGGCAATCCGCTTATCTTCCCTGAGACTCAGTTTCCTTATAAAAAAGGAAATTACTGGTCTACATTAGTTTTATCGTTCTTCTTAACCTGGAAACTGTGTGATGATTTGAGCTTGTATCTAGAGAGAGACTCTGCCCAAAGTGATACCTTAGGGATTTATGCATACAAATTGGTCAGGAGCAGTACCCACCAATTTTGTGGTCATGTAACCCCTACAGAATTTTGAAATATTAAATAATCTCAACCATTTTCACCAGGCTCCTAAACTTCCTGGTTGGAAAGAACCTAATTTCTGACATGTTTATTTAAATCCTGTTTCTATTTAAACCTTGGAGCTACAGATTTACCTTATTTAATTAAAGAGGTCTGCCACATAATCTGATTAGCAAAAGCACTCTTCACTGTTAACCACCCGCTGGAGAAAGCTAGCTTTAGATCAAATAAATGTGCTAACACATGGCACTGGAAAGCCCTCTTCTCAGCTCTAACCCAGACAGACAGATGTTAGGTGAGGATCGTAAATAGAGGTGGTGATGGTGAAGAAAAAGAGAGTCAAGTTTTCCCCCACGAAATTCATTCTGGGATTGAGTCTCTAGGGGCACTGGTGCTCAGAGAAGCTCTCCCTGTTGAGGAAAAAAAGAAACAGACACACTGAGCACCTGTCAGGTTTCTCCATATATCACTTAACCTCACCATGGAAAAAAGCAAGTCAGGCAGGAAAGGGTGGCATAATGTGGTGGGACAGTGCAGCACTCCTACCTGCCTACGGAGGTGGAGGATGAGAGGGCGAGAGAAGAGGGCATCATGATTTTGTAGCAGCACATGTGCATTCACATACAGAAACAAGGGACAACAGCACACGTAAATACTGAAGTTTGGCATTGTGAAATGGTTAGTATCTAGCCCTTTGATTCCTCAGCTTGTAATCGGTAACATGCACCTGGCTTTATCACCAAGAGTTAGTCATACAAATTAAAACTACAGTGAACAAATCTACTTCATTTATTATAGTAAAAGGTAGTCAATACTTAACATGTATCGTTTTAAATGATGGAGAGCCATAGTGTAAGTAATTTAAAGCCATAGATAATCCCCAAAGTCTTTATAGAGATTTTTAGCTTTGACTGTAAGATTTTGTGGTCAGCAAGATTTAGCTAAAACAAAATTTAAAATACAGTGCTTTGCATTCCCAGTACAGACATCTAGCCAACAAGGACAGGTGGCTCAGAATTAGAATTTGGTGGTATATAATTGAAAGATGATTTAACGGTTAAATAAAATAATATTTGCAAGCCATTTTGCAGAGTTCTGGGCACACAGTCGATGCTCGTCAGTTATTTCTTGCCATACCCTTTGCTTTCCTCTGTTACCAATAAAATGAAAGCATCCTGTTCTTGGGTCATGGACAGTAGGAAAACATTGGTATAAAGCTAATATTGTTTTTTCGTTTAATTAAAACTATACCTCAACTCTCTCAGCTGTTTGTATGTTCTATTCCTAGTTGATTAGAATAAACTGAAATTCTTCTGATAACAAGAATATGACATTTAATTAAATCAGCAGTATAGCAAAACATTTGTTCAGCTGTAGGCTTATGCTGCTTTTCAGCAGATCCTAGTTCTTATTATACTTTATATCTTGATCTGACAGTGTGCATCCTAACTTATACCTCAGACTGTTTTGGGGGGATTTAAATATATGTATTTCTTATTCATTTCTATAATACTCCTTTAAGGATTCAGATTTTTTGATAATTGGAAATAATTTTCAAGCTGGACACAATTGGCTGATGCCTGTAATCCTAGATTCTCAGAAGGCTGAAATCTGAGGAATATATTTCAAAGCAAGCCCAGGCCAGGAAAGTTTCTGAGACTGTTATCTCCAATTAATCACCAAAAAGCCAAAAGTCAAGCTATGGCTCAAATTGTAGAGCACCAGCCTAGGCTGAGTTCAAGCCCCATTACCAGCACAAAAGAAAAACAGTGCCAAGGCTGAGTTCAAGCCCCATTACCAGCACAAAAGAAAATTTTTAATCAGTGCTTATGCTACCAGCTATTTCTGTTCATGGCAGAAAAAATAGGATTTTGTTTCTTTCATCTAATGGCTTTAGTTTCTGTCTATATACCAATGTTCCTTGCTTCAATCAGGTTAATTTCAATAAACCCATCATTAATTAATAAGTTGAAATGCTGTTAACCTATCAAACACCAGACCTTAACCAAGCTGACCTTAAACATCCTCAGGATAGTTACACTAGCCTTCAGTTAGGCAAAAACCATATAACATAAGCCTATTTTATAATAATGTGTTGAATATCTCATGTCATTTATTGAATATTATGGTGAAAGTGAAGACCAAGTGTTATAGGGGAGTGCTTGCACACTGTCATAAAGTTGAAAATTGTAGTAGAATATTGTAAGTCACAGACCACTTATTTCTTATTGGTAGTTATATGTAATAAGGTCTTTAAGAATAAGGAACAATGTAAACATGTGTTAGTGATCATGAATATGGCATTAGATATTATGGTACAAATTTAAAGGAAAGGATCTAAAACTATCTACTGCATATCACACAAGATTTTTGTCTGCACAAACAAAAACCTACTCATGATGATAAAATATTAATTTGTGGAAATTGCATTTTAAATGCAGCCATAATATGTTATTCAATCTGATTTCATCACTGGTTTTACAAAAGCGATTTTACAGAATATTTCAGTGACTGTGTCTTCATATAACTTACAATCTCGTGCATGTGTATAACATAATTAGATATTGCAACTTAGTAATGCAGTTTCTTTTTGTGAAATGAGAACAATAAACAGGCAAACAACATAGCATGGAGATACCAAGTAAAATTAAGTAAATGTTTATTTTCTTAATACTAATATTTTGGATGTACTTAGGATTGCTTTTGCTCTACAAGTCTACAAGTCATTTGGACATTCAATAGCTTTGTATTTGTTAGAGCATCTATTTCATCCCCTAATCTATGAACCTCGAGCTGAGCATAACACTTTTCTTCCTCTACCAGATACAGAAGAAAAAAATAAATGTAGATCATATCATTTTTGTATTTCACAAAGGAAACAAATACACTTGCTGAAGATTGTCTTCACCCTCTGTCTAAAAACTGTCTACATATAAGATAAGGAACTAGCTATGATGTGAGTTCCACCTGGATCTACATGAGTCACTGATAGTGTATTTGTATGTCATTACAATGAACTTCTTCTACAAATGGTAGATGTTACCATCTTCCATTGAATTCAAATTATTGCTTCCTCATTTGTCAAGAGAAATCATATGCAAGAGTACTTGTAGTATTTTATGCCACATTAAAAAAAAGACATTTATTGTAACTTAACATTTATATCCCCCTCTCTTTTCTCCATATTCAGCTGTACAAGGATCAAGTGTTATTTTCCGAACAGTGGAGGTCACATTGCATAAAGAAGGCAATACCTTTGGTTTTGTAATACGAGGTAGGTTGTGGTTACTGAATATGAACCATAAGATGCTCTTGGAGAATTTGTCACAGAAATACTAGTATTGAGAGAATAAGAAATTCATCCGCAAAAGAACTGATGATTCCATTGTGTAAAGTTAGCCTTTGGTATTTACATCTAATTTTCTTTGAATAAATCAAACAAGTGGGAATCCACGTGGAATCCAAATAATCAGCTTCATTCAAGCCATAAATGCAGGGTCAGCAGCCACTGCCAGCCTTGTCAATTCATGGCTTATCACTCCTTAAGCTTGTCCTTTGCATTTCCCTTTTCACTATATCACCAGATCAAAAATGCTGATGAGTATGGCTTGATTTGGTGTAATACGAGGATTAACCAACTGCTTAAATTAATTTCTCTTGAAATTAATTTAGCATTCTAAAATTGAGCTGAAGATAATCTAATCCTTTGGGTTCTTGTGTACATCAGCTTAACTCATTTTATTACAGAATGGCATTGATAATAAAGATTCCTAGTGACTCTAACTTGCCTGTAAAAACATTAAGTCTGAGCAATGATTCTACTTTTTATTGTTTTGTTTTTCTTACTAGCAGTTTCATCCCTGAAAGATTTTTCTTACATTAACAACTCTTGATTCCTAGTATGAAAATGAGGTTTAATTCAGAATTATATAAATACCAGAACATTTTTAACATTACACATTTCTCAGTTGCTGTTTTTACTCTGTATTTCACCAAAGTCAAAATTCTATCAAAAAATATTATTAAAATGCTAATTAAGCCAGGTACCAGTGTTCATGCCTATAATCCTAGGTACTTGGGAGGTTGAGATCTAGAGGGTTGCAGTTCAAGGCCAGCCTGGGCAGAAAAGTTGTAAGCCTCTTGTTAACCAATACCTGAATGCAGTGGTGTATGCCTTCCATCTCAAGCTATAGGGGAAGCTGGGATTGGGAAAAATGTGGTTCTATGCTAACCTAAACAAAGAAAAGTTTGTGAGACTCCATCTCAATGGAAGAAAGCTGGGTGTGAAAGGATACACCTATAATCCTAGATACAGTGGGAAGCCTAAAGTAAGATGATCAGGGTCCAGGAATGTACATTGATAAATTGATACCTTCTCTAAAAAGTAAATCATGTATACAAAAGGACTGCGATGTGCTTCAGTGTTAGAACACCTGCCTAGCAAGAGTGAAGTCCTGGTATCAAATACCAGTACTGTCAAAACTAAAAAAAGAATTTAATTAAGATTATACATCTTAATAAGTATTACATACATGGAAGATTAAAAGAAATGTGTCCACTTGTGCAAAACTAAAAATATTAATTAACATTACATATCTTAATTAGTGCACATGCATGAAAGTCTAAAAGAAAAGAAATACCAAAAAAAGGAAAGAAAGACATACCAACTTCTTTTAAGTGACTGATTTTAAATGTTGTTCTAATCTGGATCAATCATTTAGCAAGTCAGTCTGTCAACTCTTTATTACTCTGAAGTACTCTGAAGTCATAAGACAAGATCATAGAGTCATAGAGAGGATGAGGAACTAGGATCTCATGAAGTTTTGACCAGTGGTAGTTGTTTTTCTCACCAAAGCCTATTTTAGTAGGAACAATAGACCTCAAGATCATTGACCAAAAACATGCCCAAATGGATGTGTAAAATAATGAGCTAAACCTGATCAAAGTTATTGTGCAAAGAATTCAGATTGAAAGTGGTCTACACAAACCTGTTATTGCAATATAAATGTGAAGAAGTGCTTTTGCATAACAGACATACAAGCCTAGTCATTGAAAATGCAGCAAAAAGTACTGCTAATGCACATATTTATCTTTAGTCACTGTAAGGCTAATCAATAATACCAAATTGCTAACAGAAAAGCTAAGCCAGTAGTCATTTATCATTAAGATAAAAAATAGAAGCAATTGAGTTTCATGAATACCTCAAGACAATTGATGACATAATATTACCAGTATGTTCATTTCACAGTACAGAAATTTTAAATCTCAAAATATATATGGTTATATGGGTAGTACTTAATTGAGTACCAATTGAGTTTTGACAAATTTATATGAACCAAATTTAAGACCAGCCCTGTGTATTTCAAGCAAAAGCTAGGATAGCACAGACTAGATGAGTTGTGTGAAGAGATTCTGTATCAAAAAAGAGAATTTACAGTAAATCACCTTCTATCTTCAAACATGTAGACATTTGAAAATTCCTGAGGAATGATTTTCTTTGTCTAAAATTTAAGAACCCATTGCAATTGACTTGATATATCTGCCAACCTTGCCCCAATATTTTTGAATTCTCCCCTTTTAATAGAAACTGCTTCAGCCACTTAATTTTTTTTTAATTTTAACTTTTACTTTATGTCAGATTGTAGACCTACTTATAGGCTAGGTTGATCAACACAGGGTATACATACTTGCACTTTGTTGATGACTGTTAACTCTTCTTATTGGGATAGAGCTTGTAATTAGTAGATCTTTTGCTGTATGAGTTGTGCATGTTTTACATCACCTTATGACAGCCATGTATTTCTTGAGAAGTGACCACTTCAAAAATAGAACCTTACAAAACAAATACAACCTTGAAGGCTATCATGCCAGAAGGAAATTTTTACATGTTTCTTCCCACACATCAACACATGCATTACAGCTGGTGGTTTGGAAGTGAATGTTTTTAATGGCAACAATAAAAAGCATATTTTTAAAGCTGTATGCCTTTTCTTTGCTAGGGGGAGCCCATGATGATCGAAATAAATCTCGTCCAGTTGTGATAACGTGTGTTCGTCCTGGAGGGCCTGCTGACAGGTGAGCTTCATCATGCTGTATCACTAGCCAAAATAGATTAAATAGAGCTTGAGAGTTTGATGTAGAAATTGATTCATAAATGTTATACCGAAAGAGAGGTATTAGGTAAATACATTAGCATGTGAAAAGTCAGAAGAGTTTGGGCTGTGGAATCACAGAAAAATAAGATTTGCTGCCAGATTCTACATTTGTTATACTTTATCTTTCGTGAGTAACTTGGTTCTGAGCTCTTCCATTGTCTGTGTATACAATCCTAACTGCCTTTCAGGTTGGCTCATTTTTTTTTCTTTTATTGTGAAAATACCGTACAGAGGGGTTACAATTACATGGGCAAGATAATGAGTACATTTCTTATCAAGCATTGTTGCCTCTTCCTTTGTTTCCCCTTCCCCTGCCTTCCCATCTCCCACCCACGCTCACCCCCACCACCAAAGTTGTAAAGTTCATTTTTCGACATAACGACTTGTACATCTCATTGTTGCAGTGGGTCCACCTGTATCCCTATTTAAACGATTTGTCTTTGCCCTTCCCCTCCACAAATTATACCAACATCAAATATAATGAGAGCAGGGGTTATACCGTGGAGGAGGGACATATAAAGCAACAAAGATATCATCTTATAAATATGTTAGAAACAATCACATGAAAGAAAAACATTTGAATATTTACCTTGGGGTTCATTTCACCTAACATCAACTTGTCTGACCTTTTCTGCTTGTCTCAGACATATACTAGTTATTGCAAATAAGGAAAACCATGGGACCTATGTTTCTTTAGGGCTGGCTTACTTCACTTAGTATACTTTTTTCCAAGTCTTTCCATTTCCTAACAAATGGGGCAATGTCATTCTTTCTGATGGAGGCATAGAATTCCATTGTGTATATATATACCACATTTTCTTGATCCATTCATCTACTGAAGGGTATCTGGGTTGGTTCCATATCTTAGGTATGGTAAAGCTTCTGCATGGCAAAGGACATAGCTAGCAAGATCAATAGAAAGCCCATGGATTGGGAGAAGATCTTCACTAGCCATACAATGGACAAGGGTCTCATATCTAAAATATACCTGGAACTCAAAAAATTAAATCTCCCAACAACAAATCCTCAAAGAAACAACTGCCCAATAAATAAGTGGGCTAAAGACTTAAAGAGAAACTTCTCTGAAGAGGAAAGAAGGATGGCCAATAGACACATGAAGAAATGCTCAACCTCTCCAGCCATAAAAGAAATGCAAATTAAAACAACATTGAGATACCACCTCACCCCAGTTAGAATGGCTATAATCAAGAACTCTAATAACAACAGATGCTGGAGGGGATGTGGACAGAAGGGAACCTTACTGCATTGTTGGTCGGAGTGTAAACTTGTTCAACCACTTTGGAAAGTAGTATGGAGGTTCCTCAAAAGACTCCACATAGAGCTCCCCTATGACCCAGCAATCCCACTTTTGGGCATTTACCCAAATGATCACAAACAAGACCATACTAAAGCTATCAGGTTGGCTCATTTTTATCAAAGGGGAAGACAATATGGTGTTTCTGTCACATAGGAGGCGCTTATGGAAGCAGCTAGCTCTTTCAAGACAGGCCCTGGAATTCATCTCTCTCCGGCTAACTTCTCAGTCTTGGGAGGTTGAGAGTGGGTGATCATTTCTGTGATCAGCAAGCTTGTCAGTATTAGTTTCTCCCCTTGATGATGATTCTGAATGTCAGAATGGAAGTGACCCAGAGTGACTTTTAGACAAATGGAAGGAGGGTTGTCAGTCTCTAGAGTTTCATCCCTTACATTTCCCTTCCTTGAGAATGTGGATATTTGAAGCACAGGCTTCTGCGCTTTGAAGCACAGGCTTCTGCCTTATTGGATTGAGTTGTATGTATAAGAGGTGATTTAGTTTCTTTCATGTTACTTTTCCACAACAAAAGCCAACTCCATATTGATTGAAAAACACAGCTCCAGCCAGTAGGCATTGTTGAAGAGTAAGACAAAAATGTACTAATTGCTTCTGTGTCTGTCTTGAACCTATATATATATATATATATATTTGTTTTTAAAGCTAGATATAGGGGTGGGGTGGGGTCAAGGGAAAAGGAGCAGATAAAAGAAGAGGAGAAGGGGGACAGGAAATGCAGACAAAAATCCCATATATGTCCTATAAAATTAAGAAGAGTAAGTGAAGGGGGTAGGTAGAGGGATGACAATGTTGAAAGGGGTGACATTGATCAAGATACATTGTATATAGCTATAAACTGCTTTTAAATGGCATCTCCTTTGTCAACTTTCTTAAAGATAATAAAGTATTTCTAAAACTAGATGTAGTAATACTAATATTAAGCGTGTACCACAGGCGAGAAATTGTGCCTTATTTGACTAACGGTTTCTTATTTAGCCTTATAACTACATGGGAAATTAGGAATTTTTTTTGTCTCACAGATGACAAAGCAGAGGCCCAGGATGTAAGTCACTGCCAGTTGTTGGTAGAAGATCTATAGGATTCAATTCTATGTGTATTTTCTTCCAAAGCTCACTGATACCTCACTTTTGCAAGGAATAACATTTCATATAACATATGAGAATAAAAAGACACTGATTTCTTACCCATATCACACACATTTACCTTTGGAAAGGGTAACACAGAAAACATTGCCTTTTTCCCTATCCATGCTTCTCTAGGAATTATCCTATCTGGTGAAAATAAAAGCATATCTATTTCTTAGTCACACTTAGGGTTAGGGTTAGCAGGAATTCCAGAAACAGTCTAAAATTCATGAGCATTGTATTTTCTCAAATGAACTGAGAACATATGGAACTGTGTGCATTGAAGATAAAACACTTACAGTCAGCTACATGAAAGATGTTTTAATTTTTTTTGTTTAAGATCATTTGTATTTCCCCCCAATTCTAAGTGTGTAAACCTGGCATTTGATTGTTTTTTCATCCCTTACATAAAGTGGGGAGGGTATATTCTGGACAACACTCTGGCTCTGTCTCCATCCTATCACTAATGACCTGAGTCATCAACTCCCAATGCCTTGAGATTCTATATCACAGCAGGGTTTGCCTACTTCTTCCAAGGAATGTGAGACTGAATCAATTTAATGATCCCCAAATGGCTTTATAAATCAGTAGGGAAATTTACAGACTAGGAAAATTCTCCCAGCCTTCCCTTTCCACTTGGGTTCACTAGTAATAAATTGGATGAAGTTAGAAGGCTTTTCTGCTCACCTGGATTTGGAGAGAAGCAGGTGAATGCTTTCTTTTTCCTGGGCCCCCATAAATCAATTTTAGACTCGAAGGCAGAAAACTTAGAAAAGGGAAAATGAACCTTTCTTGCTTTTGTACTCCAAGAGTTGACTGTGGGTAGTTATGCTATTTGCTAATGTGCGGTTATTTTCTCATTACTAATTTTTGTATTGCTGCAACTTACTGTTCAAGGTTACCTCTTTACACTCTTGCTGTCACCTAAAAGACAGGCAAAGGGCCTTACTCATGTAACTGTAACCCCTCTGTACAGTATCTTTACAATAAAAATATATATACAAAAAAAAGATAGGCAAAAGGAAGGACTGTCTAGTGTGTGTGAAAGAATGCCTTTGGCTAAGTGACTATGGATACTATGCCTCATGGTACTAAATTAATAAAGGATATTTCTCTATTCTCTCTCTAGGGAAGGAACTATCAAACCTGGTGATAGACTGCTCAGTGTGGATGGAATTCGACTTCTTGGAACCACACATGCTGAAGCCATGAGTATTCTTAAACAATGTGGACAAGAAGCAACGCTGCTGATAGAATATGATGTCTCCGTGATGGGTATGTCAGAGTCTGAAGAGCGTGACCTCTTCCATACTAGGTCCTGTCACTGGCCCAATGAACCAGCATGGGTTAAGCATGTGTTTTTCTGCTTCCTGTAGCACACAGAATTCCACCCATGCTATCTCATCTTACCTTGTTTGAGTTTAGGAACAAAAGGAATGATACTTTTTGGTGGTGTAAGAGCCTCAAGTCAATAGGTTCCATCATGACGTTGTGTTCTGTCTGTGTCTCACCAAGCAATCACGTTTCTCTATGGATCATCATTTGGCAGTTAAATACCTTTCCCCCACTAGAACACAGAAATGGCATTACTAACTTGAGGATTATGAGTTCTTCTTTTACTACCTAAAGACTGCAGCAGTGGGATATTCCTTTCCCTCTTATATCTTCACAGAATAAAGCCAGCTTCATAGAATTAACAGAAACGAACATTTATTTCAACATCAAACTTAAGGAAGGAAAGGAAATATGCAACACCACTGATTACAATCAAAATACATGCAGTATTCTTTCTTTAAAAATTGGCTTTAATAGTAAATCTATTCCTATACTTACAATACAATGGAAAGATGTTTTCTTGGTTTCCCGAGTTGCTTGAAATTTGAAATTTAAGATGGCATGACAGGTGGTATGATATCAGATTAATATGAAAAGTTCCCGGATGAATATTCCCTTTGCTTACTTTTTCTTTTTCCTTCTTCCCTCCTTTCTTTTCTTTCTGTACTTATGTGGCATTTGGATTAATTTCAGTAGATGATTTGGTTCTGTTTTGAACTCTACTCATTTTCCACTGTTGATTTGGACCATATAACTTTCCTTGGCATCTCAAATGGAGACTACCAATGCCCACTTAATTTACCCTTTTTTTTTGCAGTACTGAAGTGTGAACTCAAGACCTTTTGCTTGCTATGTAGGGGCTCTACCACTAAGCCATACCTTCACTGCCCCACCCCTTTTTTCCTTTTTGCAGGTCCTAGAGCTCAAACTCTGGGCATGGGTGCTGTGCCTGAGTTCCTTTTTGCTCAACACTAGCACTCTTAACACTTTGAGCCACAGTGCTACTTCCAGTCTTTTCTGTAATTAATTGGAGATAAGACTCTCGGAAGCTTTCCTGCCCAGGCTGGCTTCAAACCATGATACTCAGATGTCAGCCTCCCAAGTAGCCAGGATTACAAGTGTGAGCTACTGGTGTCTGGCTCCTTCAACCCTTTTTAAATGCACTGGTCATTTTTGAGATAGGATCTCACTCTCTGCCTGGACCACCTCTGCTATTTTATTCTTCCTGTCAATGCTGGGATGAGAGGCTTGAGCCACTAAGAACTTTTCTGCCTAGATTTGTCTAGAACCACGATCTTCTATATTTTAGCCTCTCACATTGCTAGGATTACAGCATGAGTCACCAGTGTCCATCCCAAAGCCTATTTTAAAAAGCAATTACAGGGCTGGGAAGGTGGCTCAGTGGGACAGTGCTTGCCTTGCATGCATGAGGCCCTGGGTTCGATTCCTCAGCACCACATAAGCAAAAAGAAAAAAGCCGGAAGTGGCGCTGTGGCTCAAGTGGTAGAGTGCTAGCCTTGAGCTGAAGAGCTGAGGGACAGCGCTCAGGCCCAGAGTTCAAGCCCCATGACCGGACCCAAAAAAAAAAAAAAAAAAAAAAAGCAATTACAAAGGCAACATAGGATTGTACAACAAAAATATAGTGAAATTGATGAGACAAGTGGATCATTAAAATTTAAAAAAATCAAACAGATTGTTGACAGGTGTACCTTTTCAGTATAAAACATTTATTGAGCTAAGTAACACACACTAGGAATACAGATGTACAGAAAGCAAAACAGCCTTACTCTAGGAGGATTGCAATCAATAAGAAAGGTAGTAGACAAGAATATTACCAAACAAATTAACACTCAAGTGTGATCATCACTATAAAGCACATGCAGAGTTCTGGTTGTCTTATTTTCTAAAAAGTAAATAGATTAATTTCCTTAGGCAATTTTGACAATGGTTCTGAATTGTTTCAGAAGTGGATATCCAGGTCAATACTTGAGTCTTTGATGGAGTAATATGCAATTATTTCAAGAATATTTTTCTGAACATCAGTGTTGGGTCAATATTAGAGAGTCAAGGTGTAGAAAATTGTACCAAATTTGAACTGACTTTTAACTTTCCCTATAATTAAAAAAAGTCACAATTCTCTAATAGTTGTTTATTCTAAAATATTCTTCCTTTGATAAAACCCTAGAAAGCAGTCAGTCTTCTTGATAGCTGGATAAAATAAGACTCACTGTAGTATAATCTAAATGAATTTTCTTAATAAGAAAGAATATCTACCATGATCCTAATAGATTTGAAACAACCAACAAATTGTTGTAGCTGATAATAAAGATGAGAAGATAACTAAAATGTTGGGCACGGTTGTGCCCCAATGTCTAGTATACCATGCCAAATCTTTCAAATAGAGCATGGGCCCCATTCCAATCCACCTCCTCATTGTTCCTAATGTATTTGGATTACTCAGTGTCTCTGGTTTTCTTTCCCTTTTAAAACAGAAAGAGCAGCCTGCAGTGATTTTTTTTTGGCCTTTTGAGAATACATTTTCCTTTGCTTTAATTATCTATGTGTGCTTCTAGTGTAACACCAGGTACCACAGACCCTATTGGGGTACTAGCCAACTCATCTTTATTTGCTTATTTCCAAAACACTTCGCATGGAGCCTTCAGACACACAAAGGAGTCACTTCATGATAAGTAATCAATCTATGTGCTCATAGATTAGCTGTCCTTGTAACCAATCATCTTCAAGTAGGTTTGTGTAGAAAGTACCAAAACATCAATGTTTATACTGTAGATTCAAAGTGAAGTTATTCCATGATTGATATAATTTCATCCTATACTGCAGAGTAGCATCATAAAATGGTAAATCACAACATCGCTTAATCTACCTACAGTGCTCTTCTGAAACCTAAAAGTCTCTAGCTTTCCCTTTAACGATCACTTTTCTGCTCATCTTCAAACCTTTCCTTACATTAACTTGGATTATTCAAGCGTGCACTAGAATACTGAAGAAAAAATTGAACTTTTCTTTACACAGACTCTATGGTACTACATCTCTGCCAAATGATATATATATACATACATATATATATATATATATATATATATATATATATATATATGTATTCCTTACACACAGGCATTCAATCCTGAGCAAACACAAAATTGTCATTTTCAAGAAATTATTTTTTAAAATAGATTTTATTATCTTTAAGTATTTGTACAAAGGAGTTGCCAGTCAACAAGGCATTTTATGAATAAAATGAATCTTGACCAATGTCACTCTTTTAGATTCTCCCCTATCCTTCCCAATACTAGCCTTTCCCTCAATTTTCTAATTTTCAAGGATATTAAGAAATTGTTTATTCAGGATGGATCTGAAAGTTGTGAGTCTTCAAGAGATAATAAGTCCTTCTATAATTAAAAAATAGATATTTTCATTATCACATCACAGCTAGTTATTATCTGGGTTTTCCATTTTACATTTATAATATCAAGATCAATATGTGCAATTTATGCCAGTGAATTTTCATTCACTAGTCCCAGGAGCAAATTAACCTGTTTGTTTGGTTATATTTTTATTTTTTGTACTTTTTATTGTAAAAATGCTGTACAGAGGGGTTACAGTTACATGAGCAAGGTAATGAGTACATTTCCTATTGAGCATTGTTGCCTCCTCCTTTGTTTTCCCCCTACCATCCCTTCCTCCCCACCTCCACAACTACCCCTGCCCCCCACCGAGGTTGTAAAGTTCGTTTTCAACATAGTGTCTTGTACTCTATTTTTATTTTTATTTTGGCACTACTGAAGTTTGAACTCAGGGCTTCCCATTTGTCAGGCACATGCTCTACCACTTGATCCACACTTCCAGCTCTTTTTTGCCTTGAACTCAGGACCAGAGTGCAGTCCCTGAGCCTCACTGTGCTCAAAGCTTACACTCCACCACTGAAGTCACAGCTCCACTTCCAGCTTTTTCTGGGTAGTTTATTGAATATATGAGTCACAGTCTTCCCTGCCTGGGCTGCCTTCAAACCATGATCCTCAGATCTCAGCCTCCTGAGTAGGATTACAGGCACGAGCCACAGGCATCTGGCTCCAGACCTTTCTTTTTTTTGGGGGGGGGGAGGGGTGTCTGGTTGTGGGGCCTGAACTCTGGGCCTGGGCTCTGTCTCTCAGCTCTTCAGCTCAAGGCTAGCGCTCTACCACTTGAGCCACAGCGCCACTTCCGGCTTTTTTTTTTTTTGCTTATGTGGTGCTAGGGAATCGAACCCAGGGCCTCATGCATGCAAGGCAAGCGCTCTACCACTGAGCCACCTTCCCAGCCCCGCTCCAGACCTTTTTTACTGAGTTATTTCTGAGGTAAAGTCTTGAGTTTTTGTAAAGTCTGCCTTGGACTCTGCAATCTTTCTACCTATGGTGTCCCACAAGCTAGAATCACACTCTCCACCATTTTCAGCATATTAATTTAGGTGGAGTCTTGCTAACTTTTTGTTTAGGCTGGCCTCGAACTTTGATCTTCCTAATCTCTCCTTCTCAAGTAGCTGAAACACTGCACCAGATTTCTCCAAAATTGATTTCTTATAAATGATATTAAATAAACTGAAAGCTGGGTTTTTCTTGTAGACCACCAGCATAGCTTCTTCTTCTTCACAGAAGATATCATAAACAAGAGTCCAGAGTTGCCTACACAAGTCTATAATTTTTAAATGGAAACAGTTTTTTTTTAGAATTTTATTTTTCTTATATAAAAATGGCCAGAGAACAAGACCAGTGGAGGCTGAGATCTAAGGATCTCAGTTTAAAGCCAGACCAGGCAAGGAAAGTGCATGAGACTCTTTATCTCCAATTAACCCGCAAAAAGGCAGAAATGGAGTTGTGTCTCAAGCAGTAGAGTGCCAGCCTTGAGCAGAGAAAACTAAGAGCTCAAGGCCCCAGTACAGGGGT